TCCCAACGAGGTCACTCGTCACCGTTAGCGTGCGCGGAGTGCGACGCTCGGGCCCATCAAGCCTAGGATTTACACCCCTCGATGCCGCGGAGACACGGTCCGACATGGCACCGTGTGCGGGAGATGAAGCTGGGCTCTACCCGTGAGCGCTGCCGGAACCAGCGAGACTTGGAGATTTCGGTGTCATTGACACAAGGCTCATTGAGCACGGAAGTCTTTTCGTTCGAACGCTGTGTCTGACGGACACGCAAGCCTCGTTGAGGCAATAATCGATCGAAACTGTAAATGTTCTCAATCTTAATGGGGGAGAGTGTAGCGGGGTTACACATACCCTGGTAACATGGATCTGTGTCACACCAGATGGGCATAGTGTGACCACACCTAAACAAGAATACGGTTGAGACTGGATAACCAGTGGTTATACATGTGTTTAGATTTAATTATACATATTTAGGAAAATCTATGCATTTAAAGTTAGGCGGCTTTGCCGCAGATAATAATAAATAAAGTCAGTTTTGAATTTAAACGGAAGAGTTAATTAGCCTTGGGTCAAGGCTATATTCACTCTTGGAGTAGGCGGATTGCGATCTGCTAAACTCGTACTTGTTCTGAGATTAGAACGAGAGGTCGGTGACCTAACTTACGCTTCCCCAAAGCGCAAAGCTTCGGCAGCCCCGCTGCAAAGAGTATGCTTGCCTTGGGTTGAGGTTTTGGGTACTCTTGGACGTAGCGGATTGCGATCCGCTACACAAGTACTGGTTCTTTTATAGAACGAAGGTCAGCAACTTAAAGTAAGCTTATTTTAAGCAAAGCGCTATGGCAGCTCCGCTGTACTTGGTAGCACTTGTTGGTCAGTCTACACCTGAGTCGTTCTGACAGATTCTCTGTGAGGATGAAGCAAATTCCTGTTTACCTCAAGGCATACAGGACGGGCTTAAAAAGCTGATACCCCTGCTTGGCCCTGAGGGCGTACAACACCTTGCTTCACAAGGATCTGAAGCAATAGACATTCTTCCACTACTACAAAATTCTCCAATCCAATAAGAGCTAGCATACGAAGCCGTGACAAATTTTCGGCAAATCTGAAAAGTGAGGAGATTGTTGATTATGTAGATGCTGACTACTCATGGCAGAATGTTTGTCAAGGAACAAGTTGGCTGTATCTCTGGCGGTCACATTTTTGCTGACAGCAGCGAGATGAGCTATCTTGCTCAGACTCTCCACATAGACCACAATACAGACACGTCTACTGGATGAGAGTACCTCCTGTCTTCTGGACTGCCATCGCTCGGTCAAAATAGGCAAGCTGACCATCAATGCTGCCGCGTACGGCACGGGGATTGCCGCATGATACAAAATACGCATGCGCACACATGAGCTTATCCGCCTATACAAGTTAGGCCACAAAAGCTCACAAATCACCGCAGTGAGAGTGATACGCTTTTCTCAGCAGCAAAAAATAATCATCAAGTAGTCTGTGAACTGGACAAGAGCAGCCGACCATGCGGTTCTACAATACATACTTTCTAGCAGGGACGTTTGGCCGGAAACGTATCCGAATTAAGCTTATTATAAAAATATACAATTCGCCACTTCCTGTTTTTCGTTCTGATACAGAAAGTCGACACCGAGAGCAAAAACTTACATTTTCTCACCATGATTCGCACGTAAGAAGCGTAAGCAACGCCACACTTTTTGACTTGTAAGGATCATTTTCATGCAACGCAATATTTATTTTCGAAACTTAAGTCAATTTTCCAATCATCGGTAAATTATTGAACATAGTAAAGCAATGCATTAAAAATCAGCTTGAAGGAGGCCTAACTATTTATATAGGTTTCTCTCGAATTTTGCGAGCAAGAAGTCTTTAATCACGAAATATCATATTAATGTACTGAAATGCCACACATTGTTAATATAGATGATGTGTACCACATCACAATCAGTCTTTACCAAAACCATCGACACGATTTCAGAGTGGGAACGCAATGCAGTCGAGAGACACCGTATCGCCACAAGCTCCCGATCGCATGCAACAGAACTCCCCACTAATATCGCATGCAACAGATTTCAATACATCTGATGAATGGAAGCAACCATCCGCTCGACGCCCAGCAACTCAGCGATTGCGAACAGTCCGCATTCTCACACAGGTCCATCCAGATTTACTCATTCCGTACTTATATAATGAGCGAGGAAGTCGCAGTATTAATGCCATTGTACATAGCACGGGATGCACGATTGACTATTGTGCCTTATCACCGAACGAGCCCGAGCGATCGCCGCAGAGTCAGGCGTATGTGATGAATTTTTTGATGTCCGCACGCTCACGTGAAACGCTTGAGAGCGCCATAAGACAATTGAATACGCTAGTGGAGCGAGTGCAGGTGTTTTTTCAAAAAAAAGCGAGAGTAAGTCAACCTGCAAGAAGCATGGACGAGTTGTACAACAAAAGAAATCCCTGTTATGAACCAGTGAACAATATTCGAGATCGACGAGACTTGAAATCAAGAATTTACGCTACAGATGCGATGGCTTTTGATGGCGAGACTCTTTCGAATAATAGCTGGACTTTTGAAGAGGCTGAAGAAGATTGGAATGTAGCGAGAGGGTACTATACTTTGGATGGCTACACTTCAAGAAAGCGTCCGGGATATCGGAATATGTCGGATGTGGAATCAGATGAAAAGAGCGATTTTATGACCACAGGTAGACATTTTGATGGCGACTTTGCTGAAACGAAAGCTTCGTGTGCATCAGGAAACCGGTTTTCAGGCGATTTCGGTGCAAGTCGTCGAGCACGACGATATCCGGGTCAATCCTGGGTGACTTCGAGAAGTTACCCGAATCATGTACCGGATCCAGAGTATAGTATGTATACAGATGCTTTACAGAGTGAAAGAAAACCTACGCAGCGAATTATGCGCGATCGGCAGCCGCGCTATACATCAAATATTTATGACCAGTCAGTGTATGGTCCACATGAATACGAGGATCCGTATGAGGATGAAATTAAACTCACCTATGAGAATGAACGCTATAATGCGCCCCAATATATGCGTCGAATGCATTCGAAACGGAGTTTAAAACGGCCGCTGAGCAACGTGCGAAGCGACAGGCCTGCGCCACCACCAATTTATCGGCAACGTTACCCTTTGAGAGCTGAGTATGCATATGATGATGAAGAGGACGAATGGATGATTGAGAACGAAGATATGGCATATGGCTATGATCCCCAGTCTTTTTTTGGTAAAATGCCTGCTTTCCGTCGTGAACATCGAATTTATAGTGGTGATAATCATAGGTGGAGTAATTTTGCCGCACCAGGGCACCTACTACCACAAATGTATAAACGACGTTGTATTCCGCGGGAAAATGTATCAGTCGAGGATGATGAAATGGTTTGTAGAGGTTCCCCCTACGAGCATGTCATTCGTGACAGTTCTAGACCTACAACAGAACGAATGGATCAGCATGATCATGTAGTTGGTAATGCAGAGTCACAGTCTGTAGATGCACAACACATTACGGATAGAATTGATATATCGGCTGAGGACGAATCGTCTGTGTCAATTATGAGCGATTCAAGTTTCGGCAATGCTGTTGTAGATGCAGAGAACCGTCAATTTTTGGCAAATGATAGCATTGCAGCCAATAGTGCGATTAATTTAGCGGTTGATTCTGCCGGTGTGAAATCAGGCAGCTCGGCACGAGTTTCTGAGCTTGACCAGACAAACGATTTGGGTGCCGAGGTGTTCCAGTCCGCGTGCGACAGAGGTGTTGAGAGTGACCTAGAACAAAATTGTGTAAGTTTTGAACTTGACTCTCAAAGTACTACATCTTTAGAGACTAGCGACGTGAAGGCTGATGTTGCGTCGCTAGCGAAGTCCAATGTTATTTCACTTTCTCCAAGGTATCGCGTACATCAGCATGGCTTTTTACTAATCGGACTGACGCTATATGTGATTTGCCATCATTTTTAGTAACTTACCTGTAAATCGTGTGGAAAACCCTACATGTTCAACGACGAAAGAAGCCGGTTGCAATGTTCCATGCGATGTCACGAGTGCTGCAACATCCTCAGACGAAAAGGTTGAGCGACCGCAACTGATAGAGCTTAACGTTTCACGAGAAGATAATTTACCTTTTCAAGCATCGACAACTTCTGACACTGGCGAATTCAATCCTGGCGATTCAAAGCATACGCCTTTGGGGTCTGTAACTTCCTCCACAATGGTTGATAATGTCCTGACGGACACGATACGAATTAACAATCATATAATTGCATCCTTGGAGCGAGTGAACAAGGTGGAGGCAGACTTTGTTCTGTTAAGAAAAATGCTCACCGAGCAAAAAGGTAAATATCATCAATTGTCGAATAGAAGCACATGCTACCACAGACTGGCAGTATCATGTGGCATGATATACAAAGTTCAATATCAACTCAGCCTGCAGCCGAATAAATTGAACGAGACGCGCAAACAAAAGGTGCTAGAAATGCTAGATCATTGTCTGGAAAATCTATTGATTGACGGCGAACAGACCTTACAAGAAAAAACTGCCGCGCTGCAACACGAAGTGGAACATATTCTTGCTGTACACGGACTCGGATTTCTTAATGGAGAATCAATAGGCAAATCAGTGATTTCCGGGCATGGCGACAAAGAGTTTTCCTCGGCGCACTCGAATGTTATTGAACACAATAAAGATAAAAGTGTTGACACAATTAGTAGAGACTGGGAGAATGATGACGGTTATACCGAGAGTACATCAACAGATCTCGCAAGGGATGACGATCTAGACTTTGTGTCGCAATCTTATTATCCGAAAAACAACACGATCTTTGAAGACGATTTGTCTACGGTTAAATTTGAGCAGAAGACATCTACTTCTCGGCCCCAGAAAATGCCACCATTTGTTTGGTCTTTGTTAACACGGGCAATTTCATCTGATCCGCAATCATACGTTATGAGGGCGACGTCTAAGCGCCTTATGGATGAGATTGCAAAAGGAGATCCATATTATTATTTACACCCGACGAAAATCGGCAACGACACCGCGACCTCGACGTCAGTGTTGCGGTCTCGATCGTGTGAATTCGGATGTGGTGGTGCTTCAGCTGTGAAATGGAAAAGAAAACTGGTCTCACAAATCAATTCACGCATGAAGTTTTTTGACAACGTAGCTTACTTGCTCGCTCGTCGCAGCAGAGGCGAGGAGGCACTTAATCGTAAAAAGATGAATTCAATCATTCGAAAGTTGCATCTCGTGGCGATGCAACTGCACTCGTTAGTATCGCATATATACTGCATTCAAGGGCAAGCAAGGTGCAGAGAAGGTGATTCGTTACCAACAAAACTAAATAGCTCTCACTTTGCACGCAGGATGGGTGTGTACAAATCAAAATTAAAGCTCGTGGTGCCGCTTACTTATCAGCAGCAATCAGCCTCACACCAACAGTGCAGTGCCGATGATGTAACAGAAGATCTTCTTCAAGATACGTTCGAGTTCTTTCCTGAGCTTCTTCTCTGCGTTGATATTTGGGGATTCAATTATCGAGAAAGTCAATCTAAGCGACACATTAGCAAAGTTGTTCTCAGTGGTAACTCTGCTGGCTCAGACGTACACTTCCCGCTTGCATTCTTACGCGAAGTTGAGGGATCGGCGTTTGATTTCGAGCATGATAACAATGGCCGGCTTAGTCAAATATGCGATGAACTATTAAACCTTGTATGTTTGTGGAATGATCTAAAGTGGACTGATAGTTTGGAAAATGTGGCATTGGATCGGGTGCTCTCTTTTGAGACAGATGTCACTGCTAGCATTTCGAAAGTATTGGATCTTTATGCTCATCATTTGCAAGCTCTTTGGGCTGTGCGTCTGTTTGATGATCCTGAACAGCTTCAAAGCGTTCACTTTACGCATCTCAACGCATACTATAGTGATAGAAGTCAAAGTACGACTTCAAATGGAACGAGTAGTGTTGACAGTGATGTGAACGCTGTGGACTATTTAGTGGCAAACGCAATAGTGGAGCAACGTCATGTTGAAAAGTATTGGAACCGCAAAGTTACAACCTTGTCTGTGTACAACTCGGACGATGACGCTTCAGAATTGACTGAAAGAGGGCCACACACAAATCAGCTTTTAAGTATCGACGCGATATCTTCTTGGAACAAAGATACCCTCCTGCGTTACTTGCTGCGGTGGAGTGACGTGTATGGGATTCGCACTGATGCAAATGTGCTTTCCGCTGTCACAAACCACATGATCAAACATGAAGTTCAGAAGCACATATTTTCTAGACACAATGACGAATCTAATCCAGTTGAAGGCGATTCGATGGTTGATCTGTCGACTAGCAAACTCCTGACAGCCGTTAGACGCGCGCAAATTTTGATACAAGACGCTTTAATCATGGCCAAGAAGCTCGCGCTTCATTCTGCGTGCCACCAACTTCTGAACGAGCGAAAATACTCATTATATGTTGAACCGGACATTATAGACGGTGAGGTCGCTTCATCTAGCGATACGCAATCCCTCTGCACGACAATGAACACTCATAATCAAGCTGTCTCGGATTTAGAATCTCACTCGGTTGCTCGTGGGTCTTGCGATGCTGAAAAGTACGGCAGTGATGCTCAGAAAGAGGCCTTAGACACTGACCCGGCCCAGGATCAGCCGGAGGTGAAGGATCTTATCCATTTGTTGGCAGTAACAAAACAGGAAATGCAAGAGCTTTGTGGCCGTAGACCACGTTCTGCTCGTATGCGGGAAAAGGTGCAGACACAATCATTGCAACTCGCTCGGCAGACGGTTGAAATATTCCGCAATATTCGGAACATGTACGAGGCTCAGCGTCGATAACGACGCGGATGGCCGTGCATATTGAATTGTCATACTCGGTTATATTAAAAAAATCGTACAACTCGGGTCAAAAAGGCCAAGACGCCAGCTTCATGAGCGGTATATCCATTGTACTTCATGTGATAGAAGGTAATTGAAGAGCTCAAAGTTGATGTTCGGAAGGGGAAGCTGTATACACAGCAATGTTTACTACGCTTGAATGATTTGATATGTGCGATAAAACATCATCTCGTTTTCACGATGACGGTAGACGTCAAAAAAGAATCGTGTTACCTCATCGAGTTAGGTACATTACATTTCGCAGCTCGCGTTGCTCAAATGACGACATACTGTGGTGAGGGAGCTTTGCTGGTCTTCTTCCTGTTGACTATCGCTCTTATTTCAAATACAGCGACATGAGCTCATCGTGCCCGAGCATGTTGCACGATCTTGAGTCAATACGCGTATTGCCTTTATCCTGCTCCACAAAGCAGGTTTCGTGAGGATTTAAATTTCGTTTCTTGCTAATATTTGTAGATGGTTATTCTGAAGACTCGTCAATACATATACGCAGAAAATCTCATGCTTTACAATCGACTTTAGTGCTGCGTTCGAACAGAGCCTTCATAAAACAGTATAACATGCATTTCACTAAATGGTGGAAAGTAACTTCATTACGACCACAAAGCAGCTCGTACCATAAGCAAGACAGCCGATTGTGTTCTAAAGTCGCCAGTATGGAGGCTGAGGTGGTGAAAGAAAACTCAACAACGGATTATTCGTGCTCTATATGACTTTGGATATACCGTGCACAATGCTATACGGTGCTTAACTCGAGTATTTAAGGATGCGAAAAGGAGCTGGAAGTAACGAGCTCAACATCAGTTGATCTCATAAACTCTTGTCAAGATCGACAGGGACTTTGTGATAATATACGACGGAAATGTTGACAAGGAAAGATGATTTCCCAAAGTACAGCGTATCACTTGAAGTTGTTGCTACCATCATATTTTGGATTGCAATGGCAATCGGTCACTAGTATATTTTCCATTCCACCAACATTACGAAAACTTGCCCAATTCAAACTGATTTTACATTTCGAGAAAATCAGATCGACAATCTTTAGATCGCAGATTGCGCCATCGAGAGATCCAAAATGTAGCTCTTTACAGCTCTGTCAAATATTATGTCCAACTGACCATTCGTCCCTTTGAGTAAGGCCTGGAAATTTTCGACAGACAGCTTCGTACGTAACGCATACCGCACAAGGCCAGAGAGAAGGCGATATGCAATAACAAAATCAATCTCTCCCCGATCTGTTTGAAATCCTAAGCGCAAATAGTCAGCCAGCTGACCATTGTTTACCTTGTCAGAAGTGAAGAGCGCTTCTACTATCCGATCCAGCTGGAAGTTAAGTTCCTGACAGGCAGCAAAATACTCAGGCAGCCACTCCTTCACTGCAACCACTGCATCAGTCGAGCGATAAATGTTGATCAGATTTGGTATTAACGCATCCGGAGATCGGTACAATTGCAGGTCTAGACCAACCGGAACTCCCAGAACTTTTCTCATTTTTGGAACGTCAATCATCACCACTGTCTTCACTGTTTGAGGTGGTTTCAAATGTTTAATAAAGTCTTGATATCTCGTCACTGCGCTTGTGAAGTAACCATTAATCTTACCATTCGACCCCATTAAAAACGACTGAAAAACTTCAAGCGTGAGCTTCTCCTTATACGCGTAGTTTAAAAAGTAGCGATAGACTTTGAGAGCGTTCATCTGCTTAAACGTATCTTGCTCTTGCAACCCAAAGGCCAAATAGTCAGCTAGCCGCATTTTGTCCTCACCCTCGAGCGTCAAAAGATTTTTGGTAACCCAATATTGACCGTTGTCACTTTTCTGAAGACAGAAATGGATAAACTGAGGCAGCCACTTCTCCAAATTCTCTTTACCAGGAATTGTTTGGAGTTGTACAAAAGCTTCATCTAAAAGGATGTCCTCTTGAACTTCCACATGAGTAGGGACTTGAACAATTGCTGGTATTTCTGACTCGTGTGGCTGAACAATAACCGGCGAATGGGCTTGATGCCGCGTCATCGAATTCACTTTTTAAAGTGGCAGCGACGACACTGCAGATTTTGGCAACGGCTTGTTTGAAACAGCCCCAACCTCTGTCACATCAGGCGCAGAGATCAGTTGCGACTGTGTTGAAGCCATAGAAATTGGTCGTTTCTTGTCCGTTGTACTCGCTGACTTTGGCTGGAACGTCTGGAATCGATAGCTTGGCAACGTAGAATCCGCATGCAGCGGCTGTGGATCATTGGCGGATTCAAATTCGGACATCACTGCTTTTTCCGACGTAATAGAATGCTCATTGTCAGTCAATAATTTTTTTAGTTTTTCAGAACCAGCCGTTGATGTCAGTATTCCACTATCAGGCAACATATTCTTTGTAGTCGACGTCATCGTAGCCGCATCGTTGGCTGCTGTCTTTTTAAGAGCTGGTGCCACCAACTCTGAATCAGCTGATGGGGCAGTAATTTCATGCGTTGTGCCTTTAGTAGTCGAAGATGGATCTACAACAATATTAGGCAAACCATTTGGTGTCTCGTCACGACTTGATACTAATGCATTGGTATCACGCGGTGTCATGACAAGGCTATTCTCGATCGCTACATATTTCGAAGTCGCTGTATCTTCCAGAATTGGAACCTCTATCTTAAACTCAATCGGTAAGGGACGAGGTCGATTTTGAGACATTGGACCTTTCACATTTGACATCTGCTCAATCACCTTTTCCGTCGACACAGTTTTTGTTGCTGTAGATTGCGGCAAAGCATTCAACGGTCTCGAATTGAACAGCGACTTTAGCCACAGCCAAACCTTGCAAGCCCATTCGAATAAAAAGAAATTCCTCTCTTCGTTTTTAGTGCCCGCTCGGACAGACTTTCCAGTTGTCACCAGCCTATTCTCTTCAGAACTCTCGTTTATCGATAATTCAGCTCGCAGCGATCTCTCCGTCCCTTGATGACTAAGGGGAGGGTCAATGTAGGCATTGAGACTCGGCGGTTCAATTCCAATCGAGACAAGCACGATAGCAACGAGAGCAATGGCAGCGAACAGCACAGCCAGACTAACGTCTCGCGGCATTTAACTCTAAATAATGAATAAGGGCCACACATTGAAATAGGTAACTGTATTTTTTTTTAACTTATTACCTAAAATTACTCTTACACAAATTATCCAAAAGAAAGCTTCCAATAATTGCAAATGCACAAAAGTCGGATACTCAACAGACATACCTCTCATCAATGCCACAAGTAGCGAAATTGGGCATTCTTAGTGCGCTTTATAGGTCATGGAATCGCAACAAAGGCACTTAATGGGGCATCCTATGCTGTAGTCGTCTTTGCTGATTTGATACATTTGAGTAATTGAGATACGCATATAAATGGCCGGAATAGAGACAGCGGAGAATTTATTATACAGAAAATCGGACTCTTGCTGAAAATATGCCCATCCTGACACGCAGCTATGTGTTTGAACATTTGACTTACGTTAGTGTTTGGAACTTAACGAATTTACTACTCAAATGCTAAACAATTAGGCTAACCATACTGACTGCGCTGATGATACTCCGTGTCATACTTCGCTGGCAAACATTTGTATGGTCTTCGCTGCAACTTAGGAGGGCTCATGTATAAGAGACTAGTTGACGTTAATACGCTGTACAAAGCCTCTTCAGTAGCTTTATCGTATCCTTCTTCGAGCGAAATAGCTCAATTTCAACAGCCGAGCGTCGTACTTTGCTTGATCGCCGACGTCAATTGACAATCAAGCGCTACGCACGCTATAACGCATACTTAAGATTAATATGTGGCGTCATTACTTGACATCACCAAGAAGCTTCTAGAAGGGTATAGACGGAAAGGCTTCGAAGTAGCACAAAGTAGCAAACTAAGTACCCAGATTATATTTTTTTCACTTCACAAATCAACTTCTAATCAACACACCAGTTTGACGGATAAACAGCCGCAGGAGAAGCTCAAGCCCCACGCTAGCAAAACCATGTCTGCTAAGCGTACTGAAGTAATCCTTGGAAGAGACAACTACTTCCACTTGGAGCTTGTTATGCGAATGAAGCTAGTAAGGAAAGGGCTACTAGCGCATGGTGCAGACGGTAGAACTAGACTGAGGGGTGAATCCTGAACGACACGAAGGCGCTCTGTCTGATTGCACAAGGCGTTGGTATTGAGTATCATACGAAAATCCGAATGGCAACAACGGCTGCGCAGGCTCGGACCACCCGACGGAATTTCTACATTCGGACCACGATGCACAACCGTGTGTCAACGACCCATCGTCTTCTCATGTCTTAGATGGACGATGGCATGACCATGGCAAAGCATCGACGAGGTTATCATGGGGCTATAGGCACTTGGGGGAAACTTGATGATGCTAGGCAGCTAGTGATTTGATTAGCAGCCTGCCGACTGAGTTATCATCGATTACTGAAAACTCGAATTGCATCATGCTCAATGAGGTGCATGAGAAACTACTGAATGCGTTGGAGCGTCAGGACAAGAAGGAAAGCACGATACGTGCGATGAATGCCGCATCATTCGGCTTTAGAAACCAAAATGAGTTCATAAAAAGCACTGGATAACAACGGTCACAATAGCAATGGCAGGAAGAGAGGTCATGGGTTCAAGGGCAAGTGTTTTGAGTGTGGTCAAATTGGATTTCTGAAGTAAGACTGTCCGGATAATCGTAATGTAAACGATGAAGACACGATGTTCGCAATTGGAGAGCATCAACCCAATGGCTAGTTGATTAATAGCGGAGCGACTTCACACATGACCCCGCATCTAGACGACCTGAGCGAATATGTTGTCGTAAATGAGCAAATTGAGGTGACAATTGTATGCTGCGCGTAGTTGGAATGGATTCGGTACGTCGAAGGAGTGTGATCTCGAGCCAATTCGAATGATGGAGATATTACATATGCCAGGACTAGATCGACTACTTTCAGTTGCTGCTCGCGGCCTTGAATTTCAACTAACATTATGCACAACTTTGAAGAACCCAGTGGTGATAGCAACGGGCAAGAAAGTCGGCAAAACCTAAATATAAGATTGTCAACAGGAAAGTGCCCATTACGTGGATTACGCAAGCTTGTAAGCCAATGACTATTATGGCACGCTCGGTCAGGTCACCCGAATTCAAAAGCACTAACAAGAACACAAAAAATAACAATAGGTATACCAGCAACGAAGCAGCAGGTCACGACGTTGTGTGGTGGATGCATGGGGCGCAAGCAGACAGTGGACTAGTTTCCATCTCGATCGATGTCCCAATCGTCGCGTGTGCTTGAATTGCTCCGCGTGGACGTGTTATTCTAATGAAAAAAACACAATCAAAGGGAGGAGTAAAGTGCGTTTAGCTTTGTGGACGACTATTCAAGATTTTGATGGTGTACTTCCTCAAGAACAATATTGAGGTTGCGCAAATGTTCAAGGTTTACAAGATGCTATACGAAAATCAATGGCGGAATTGCATTAAGTGTTTGCGCTCAATGGCTTGGAGTTTGTAAATAAGACGCTGGATAATATTTGTGAGCTTGGAGGTATCATACACCAGGAGACTGCGCCTTACATTCCACAGCAAAATGGAGTAGTTGAGAGGATGAATCGCCCTATAATGGAAAAGGCAAGAAGCGTTCTGCATCACAACGAGGCATCAGCCGAATGGTGGGCGGAGGCAGTCAACACGGCAGTCTACGTGATCAACAGGACCATCAATAGTGCTCACCCGATTATAACGCCGTACAAAATAAGTTTTACGATCAAGCCATACTTCAATCATCTGCGTGTGCTCGGGTCCGCGTTTATGTGCATGTAGATGATGTCAAGCCGATAAAAATCGAAGCAAAGATCCTTCGATGCGTATTTTTGGGATATGCCGACAACACCTAGGGCTACAGGGTCTTCGCCTTGAAGTTGCAGAGAACCAAAGTGGTAAGTTCTCTCCAAGTTGACGAGCTTAAATAAATGGCATATACGACACTGGGTATACATACGGTCCGATTGTGATCAATGCAAAAAGCGATGACAAGATACACTTGGGCAGTGAAGACCGTGAAGACCCAAAGCCTCACCATCATCAAACTACACCGATGGCCAACGAACAGATGTTGTCAGCTGATGAGCACAACGAAGAAATCGTGATGCATGAGGTTTATGTCTGTCCACCATCCACCGCTCATGAGCTTTCGACATCGTAGAGCTAGAGGACCATCAATAAGCGAAAAGTGGTGTAGCATCCGCAAATAGAGCGGAAACATCAGGAACGCAATTCGACCTTTTGGGCAATAGTAGTATAAACCCCAGACAGACAGGTCCTAACTCGACAAACAATGATGCTATTGATGAAGACGATAACAGTGATCCTAACAATGAGGACCGCTTCTGCCGACCATCGCCTAAGAGACCTCGCATGGATGAAGACGATCTGAAGCAGTTTTAGCCTATGCTGTAAACTTTTGGAATGTGGTTGATGCCTACCCACGTGTCAGCAGGTCATTACAAGTCAAGATGCGCCAAAAATGGATAAAATTTATGAAGACTGAACTTTACGCGCACGAGCTCAGTAATCCACGAACCTTAGTGTAAAATGCGGATATGCGCCCACTTGGTTGTGGATGGGTCTTTGCAAAGAAGCAAATTTAGAGCGGGCAAGTGGTAAGGTATACAGCTCGGCTTGTAGCCAAGGGCTTCAAACATAAATCTGGATTTCTTCAAAACCTACTTGCCGGTGGCCAACATGAATTTAATTCTGATGGTGATGGCACTTATTGTGACTGTGGGTTATGTTACCGAACAATTACATTTGGCCATGCGGTACTCAACAGTAATCTGGAGGGCCGAACGGTGTCACTAACGTCAAATGCTGCATCTGCCGAATTAATATAGCACTATATGGCCTAAAATATGCAGCTTGCGCGTGGGACTAGATAATTCATCAGTTATTTTTGCAGGTCGGTTTCAAGAGCTGCGGAGCCGACTCATGCGTATACAATAAGAAAAAGTAGTCTAGCTTGGTCTACGTATGACTCTTTGTTGATGACATGATCATTGCAGCTCAAATGAGCAAAGAAATTTAAGTTGAGCACTGTCAAGACAACGCTCAAGAAAGCGTTTGATATGAAAGAGCTTGTTGAGGCCAAGTTTATATCAAGGATGGAAATAAATCATGAAAGATCAAAAAAGAATTTTATCCAAACAGACTCCTTACATCAACATGCATACGTTGTTACTCTACTATCTTACTTCCTCGAAAATCCGGGCCAACGCCATTAAAAGTCTGCCATTCGTGCACTTTGATATCTTTAGACGACGCAAAAGCATGGACTTCTCTACAAGGACAGCGTAGGTGACTTAGACGTCGTGACATACACGGATACCGACTGGGGCAGTAACATCGATGACCGTCGCTCTGTGTTGGGGATCGTGGTAATGATTGAACATGCTCCTGTAAAATTCAATTCAAAGTAACAACGTACAGTGACTCTCAGCTCAGCAGAAGGCTAATACATGGCGCTTAGCTTCTGTACGCAAGAGGTCTTGCGGTGCGAGCTATGCTTAAATTTCTCGGTAATGAACAAGCAGGAGTGACTTTAATCTTCGAGGACAACCAAGGAGCCATCGCGCTTGTAAACAATGCGAGATACAATGATCGAACAAAGCGGGTTTGTATCCGTCATCACTTCATTCGGGTAAACGTGGGCCGACATGCGATCGTGATAAGGCATATCAGTACGGAGAAGCAGTTAGTAGACATGATAACGAAGCCTTTAGGGACCAAGAACTCCAGCTTCGAAATGCAAGTGGCGTGCGATCCATGCCAACTATGCATTAGCGGCGAGTAGGAGTGTGGAAGCTACTCTAACATGATCACGCCACTGACAGCTTATGTACAAGATTGGAGACGCTACATGGTTATGGGCATTTGCTCACGATTAATACCAGCAAGGGTGTGACGTATTATATGACGTCACCAAAAAGTGTCTAGAAGGGTCTAGAAGGATAGGCTTCGAGGTAGCACAAAGTTGCAAACGAAGTACCTAAATATTTTTTTCACTTCACAAATCA